CCGTTGTCGGTGCTTCGTCGCGCCCGTTGTCGGTGCTTCGTCGCGCCCGTTGTCGGTGCTTCGTCACGGCCGTTGTCGGTGTTTCGTCGCGCCCGTTCTCGGTGCTTCGTCGCGGCCGTTCTCGGTGCTTCATCGCAGCCGTTCACCGGTGCTTCGTCGCGGCCGTTCTCGGTGCTTTGTAACTACTCTTTCCTCTGCCATCTGACACATTCTTCTCCGCCCACAGATACAGCGGAGTCACCGGGGTTCTTTGGCCAGGGGGGCTCAGGAGGTGGATGTGATGGAGGGGGCCGGGGAGAAGGGGCTCAGTCTGCTGGTGAAGCAAGTGTTGGGGAAGCCCTTGAACAAAACGGAGCAGCTTTCCAACTGGGAGAGGCGGCCGCTGAGGATCAGCCAGCTGCGCTATGCTGGTAAGCGGCCGTGACCAGAGGGCGGCTCGGCACAGACTGCATATGAGTATCAGAACACCAGCAGGATCACTCAGCTTGGACAATCTACTGGCACATTGAACCTGCAAACTATGTCTTAACCTTTGCACCAAGGAGTAGAGAAACAAAACTGCTTTTGATCTTCCAAATAAAAGATTGTTTGAGATATCTGTGAATAGCGTAAATGCCCCTGTTGGTATATAAGGTTCTTCTTGCATGGTCTAATGTGGTTTGCTGCGTGCAGAACACAGCAGATTTGCACAGGTGTGAAGGAGCAGCTTCTGGCCCTCGTAGACGCTGAGGTGTTGCTGACGCCCTCACGTGACACCAAACGGGGCCGGGGGAGGGTTTGCGAGACGCCTTATGGGATTATCACGAACGCCCAGTGAACCGAGAAGAGGATATGTTGGTTTCTCTTGTTCTCTCCGGCTCCCTGAGTTTCTGCCTCACTGCCTATCTGTCTTCCCATCTCTCCAGCCAATGATGCATACTGTCTGCTAGATGTCTACCTCGCTCTGTCCCAGGACCCAGCACGCTACAGCCTACCCGCCAACCTCTGCTGCGCCCCCGCAGGTCAGGCTGGGAACTGCAAGGAGGCGAAGAAGCTGAAGGAGAAAAGAAAGCAAGCCCGGCCTCCCAGGGTCAGCTAATCACCATATAACAACTCGGCAGCTAACGGGTCTCAGCAAATCAGCAACTGATGGCGAGTCCTGGCAGCGGCCAAATAGGGTGGCAGGTAGCTTAATGTACTACCAGCAGAGGGAGCCGTACTTTCCACATAGGTGCTGCCTGAATAATCTCTCAATGTGCAGCTGAAATTTTCCCATGAAGAATACACAGCCATGTATGTGGGCATAGTTATGCACCCATCCATCCATCCATCCAGCCATCCAGCCATCCATCATGTAGGGTCGCAGTCAGGGCCAAACCTGGACAGAATGCCAGTACGCGCACACACACACACACACACACACACGTATCTTTGTGTGGACTCTCCATTAATTTCTATAACCCTAATTCCAACAGTGACAACCTTAACCCCTACCCAGCCCTAACCTTAACCATAAGTAACCAAAGAAAATACAAGACTTTTGGGTTTTCTAGTTTTTTTGATTGCAGTCACAGATTTTTATAAAAGTGAAAAAATGGCCCTCATAATGTTATAATTACAGGTTTGTAATCACTTTGTGGGGACACCACACTCACTCTCATACAGACATACACTCACCCACACACACTCAAAGATCACAACATAATACTGCGTGTAGCTAAAGTTTCAAACCATAAGTCACAGTGTTTGGATGTAATTGCTGTCCCATTTAGATAGCCCCCCCCCCCTCCCAAAAAATAAATATACTTAGTGTATTATTACTTTTGGCATGAAGACTAAACTTGAGCCAGCTTCTTGAAATATGCAAAATATTTCACATCCTTATATGCTAAAGACTGGCCAGGATGCTGCGTGATATTTTTAAGGAAATTAAAATAAAGCCCTGTTTGTGTATAAACATTTTAAATTATATCGTGTATTTATAAATGTGTGTTTGGAATTAATGTTTAGCTGGTCAGATGGGGCTCTGGGCAGCTGGTAGTTTTGCAGCAATAGCCAGAAATGTAACTATTATTTGCCAGTTTGAGGACCCTAATGGGGACTTACCCTGAACTGCAGCAGTGAAGCATGTGGCTTTGTAAACAGGCAGAACTGTGAAACCATCGGAAAAGTAACAAGGTGGCAATAAAACAGTAATCGTTTATGCAAGCATGTCACGCAGAAGGAGTGAAGTCATTTCCAAATTTTAGATCGGGATAGTTTTCCATGCGGGAAGGGATGTGAGGTGACTCAGATTATTTGCTGCAAATCACTTGTGTCGTAGGTGGGAACTTGCAGTTGTTTTGGCAAGTAAGAATCTGTAGGGTGAAGGAATGTTAGGTGAAGTAAATCACTGTGGCTGCGGATAATCCCGATTGCAAAAGCTGATTGCTGACAAGCGTTGTTTTCGAGTCTCAGACACTGCTCTCTCTGGTGGATTCAAAGTGAAAATAAATGCCTCTGTATGTGTTCTGCATTTACCAGTGGTGCAGAGGAAGGAGAGTGTTCATTGCTGGGGGAAGGAACAGACATTCTCAGTAATAGTACAGTTTATTTGTGAACCAGTACAGAGGTCCACTTTGCAGGTATGCAGGGCTGATAGAGGTCTGTTTATTTAAAATCCTGTGAACATTTCTGAAAGAAATCACATCCCTAACATTTAAGTTTATCCTGCTGTCTAAAAATGTGCATAGGAAAATGTACTACAGGGATTTTCTGTGATAATTGTGAGCCTAAATATGAATCCATGGTTGCATGAGGAAATGTGAAAATCTAACAAGTTTGACAGCTTACGATCTTTTGTCTGCCGCCGAAACCTTATTTGAACCTTATTTGTGCGAGGAACATTGAATCCTATAGTCTGTCCGCGCTCGTTCGACTTGGACTATCTGGACAAGATTGATAGTTGGGGTTTTAGGCCTCGGAAGGGCTATTCTTCAGCTGATTGAGGCAGGGAGGCTCTGAGATGCTTTGTGGCTGTGTGGTTTCGTGGCGAGGCGGCTCTGGGTCCAGCATCTGGGTCCAGTTCCCATGAGATGCGTGTCTGACGCGTGCTTTGGCTTGGCTACAGCTGACGCATTGATGTAAACGCTTTTTTTTATTTTCTGATTCAGCCTGTGATGTTATGAAGTTGTCCATGCTAGCTGTAACATGGACTGGATGTGTCTTTCCATTGTATAACACATTTGTGACGATGCTGCCAACAGATGACAAACAGAAAATAGGCCCAAGGACTAACTCGTGTAAGAACCTTGGTGGACATTAGCATGTTCATTTAAAAAAAGCAAAAAGAGGCTTGTGCTTAGAAGGGCGCCTTCTTCACAGGCCTGTAATACTTACCACATGTCATCTTTTAGTGTTTTTTTAATCTTTTGTGCCTGTTAGTGTTCCATGAGATACAAATATGTCAGGCAGCTGAGTGGTGAGTTTCGGGTCCTTCGAAAGTCGAACCTTGGATCTGCCTTTTACACGTTCTGGTCGCGTCACAGTTTTCGTAACCCGGTCCTGCTTGGACTGTGGGGATTTCGTTCTTCCATGTCATTTAGGGTGTTAAAACGCCACTGTTTTAAGGGGCCGGCTTTATACCTGACTTGTGATAGGCTATTCGATCGGGGGAGCAGAGTAATGACCAATGAGACGTGTGCGATTTTAGATTTGATTGATGTTAGCCTGGGGATCGGCGGTCGAACTAAACAAACGGCTCCTCGGCAGGTGACCCCCGGTGACCCCGGCGCGGCGGGCGGCGTCCTGCCCTCCGCAGTGCAGCTGGGCCCCCCCATGGAGCCCCGCCAGCTGCGCGTGGTCTGTGACAACATGCTCCAGGGACTGGGCCGCTACCTGCGCTGCCTGGGGGTGGACGTGCTCATGCTGGAGAACACCGACGACCACAGAGTCGCAGCCAAAGTTAGACCCCCGCCGCCGCTCCGCATTCTGCCCTCGTCATTCTTCTGCCCTGCCTGGGTGGGCAGTCTGTCCTCCAGGGTCACAAGTTTCTATTTCAGCTCTTTTAACTGAAGCCATTATTTATCTGTTATGTTATTAAGCAGCTCAGAAGGACGATGAGGATGAAGATGAGGCGGAGGTTGAGGATGAGGGTAAAAATGAGGTTGAGGATGAGGGTGAAGATGAGGATAAGGATGAGGCTGAGGATGAAGATGAGAATCGCTTGGCTTTCAAAACATGCTGCTTTACACCGTATCTGGTCAAAGAGAATGTCCAATTTACAAATGATTTTTCTTCATTTTTCTTTTTTACGTATGATATATATACACACACACACACACAATAAATACTGACCACATGATGTGTGTTCTGCTACACTTTTTAGCCATTCTTTATTTTCATTCCTTGAGCAATGCGCTTATTTGTGACATTTTAAAATAATTAAGCCTGTCCCTCAGGCCCAACTCCGCGACCTCTGACACGATGATGTGGCTTCAGAGGCAGAGACTTGCAAATGCAGAAGTAGCTTCTGACTTTAAGCCCTGTGCTTTGTGCCTTTGGACTATTTAAACATTGCCGTGGGATTTAAGGCTGTGTGGGCGAGCCCTTGCCCCATCTGGCCTCCTGTGCGCTTAGCGTCTGCGTCATAGCCTGCTGCTACAGGCAGCGAGCATCACGTTAGCATTTAGCATTGTGTTGCGGCCCATTTGCCACGTGGCAAACTGGCTAAGACGGCCTGTGGTTCTCTCCTTCAGCTTGCCCGAGCGGAGGGCCGTGTCATCCTCACCTGCGGCCAGCCGTACCAGACCGTAAGTGCGCTCGACCCTCAGTGACCCCCTCTTCTTCAGCTTACGTGGCGTCACAGGTCCTGTGTGAAAGCTAAAACCTGTATGGCTGTGGGGGTTAGGACGCTGTGCCCGTGATCGTGGTCATGGGTTTGAATCCCATGGCTAACAGTGAATTCATCATCAAGTCCGTGAGCGATGCTCGTGATGCCGGTCACGGTCGCTCGGGGGACAAACTGACGCTGTTATCTGATCCTCACTAGTACGTTGCTTTGGGATGCAGTGTGCATTCGTCTGATGTCCTCCTTTATTCTGTCTTTGTGCCCCCACCCCTCAAGTTGAAGTCACAGGTGGGTGAGGGTCGCTGCCTGCTGTTGGACTGCTCGGAGAAGGCCCGAGACCAGGCTGTCAGGGTCCTCCGGCACTTCCGCATCCGCCTGACGCCCGATGACATCTTCAGCCGCTGCCAGGTCAGCTCAGCCCTCCGGCGCCTCTCTCCCGAGACGATGACCACAGCTGCACGGGGCTTTTCTCTTTAGCTGTTAAATAAAAACTGTGTAAAAGCCCTCAAAATGGTTAAAAAAGCAGATTTCCCATTTCCTCCTGCGTTTCCCTGAACTGTCACTGTGGTATTCGGCCAAACAATGGGGTCGCTGGTATGCGCTGTAAACAGGAGGGCGAGGCCATGGGACCTCACCAAGATACGGGCCTTAAGCACATCTCTGCTCTGGCCCCCTCTAAGGGATGGTCGTCATTCTTCATATTTTTTTCTTCTATTTGAGAATGAATTAGTTATACTGGAAGACAGCTGTTGCATTTTTTTGTCCAGTTTTGTGTATTTCAAGCATTGCAAGCTGTATGTGCCACTTCGTGATGCCTTAACCTGCGTGAGGTTATGTAACGTTAGTCCCTGCTCCGGGTCTCATGACCCCCACTGTACCGTGAGTCTCACGCAGTGTCGTGCTGCTCGCAGGCCAGTCGAGACGCAGCATCTGCTGCTGAGCAAAATGCCATAAGATAAGATGAACTTTATTAATGCCACGAAGGGAAATCTCGGTGTTACGGCAGCAGTTATAGGAAGGATCAGGCAATACACAGGACATAAGAGCGCATTATGGAAGGGCACAAACATATGAATACAAACAGTATGCTGTGTACAAACAAGATGTCGATGTGGGTAAGTCAGCGAGCAGGAATGCGGGACGTGAGGTGGGGGGTGGACAGGGGTCCATGGGCCAGCTTCTCCAAAGGCCACCCAGGCGAGGTTAACCCTTTTGTTATCCTGTTGTAAAAGTCCTTTGATTAACAGAGGATGGGTGGCTTGACCAGTGTCCCCCCCCCCGCCACCCTTTTGGCTCTTGCTATACTTTAAGTGGACATTGGGAGCTGGGCATTCCCGAAACCCCCCCAGCCCACTGTGTGGCCCATTGATGATGATTGACAGTCATTAACCCTTTGGTTGCCGGGGGGGCCACCAGCTCCTGGCATTCGCATTCATGACCCCCTCCTCTTTCCGGGCCTTTCCTCTCTGTCTTCCCCTTGTCTCAGTGGTTTCTGGCCAAACTCCAGGATATCATTTACACCGTGTGCTTGAGGACCTGCCTCTGGGTCCTGCTGTGATCTTCTTCATTAGGTCTGTGTTCTGTGGATCGTTTGAAGGTCCCCAGACGCATAAACAACAGCAGAGCCGTGATCTTTCCCTGCGTCTCTCTCCACTATGGGCTTCAAATTCCCCTTGAAAAGCGTAAAACATCATTTTGTAGTATCAGCTGGACATTGTAAACGCCCGCCCTCCCTTAAGTAAAGTTTCTTACTTTTTAACTGAGTACTTCTATAAATTCGAGTAGAGGGATTTAGTATTTAAACAGACTACAGATGCAGGCGATGCTCTTTGTCTTTTTGTGATGTGTGGAATTATGCTTTGTTATGCATCACCCCTTTGTATGCCTGAGTTTCTTTAACTCAATGGATGCTTTCTCAGGAGTATATTGCTGTCAAACTCTTGATTTGTCCCCTCAGGACATCACTGGGCTTTCACGGCCCTCATGGTGTTACGAAGAGCATTTTTTTCCCTTTACCTTTAGAGTGTCTGCCTGCTGATCTGTTAAAGGGCTTCATTGAGACAGATAGCTATTGAGATGGCTGCAATGGAGGTCATTGTGCAGTTTTATGTTCCCGTGATTGGGGACGGAGAGCCGCAGAGGGTGAATGAGAGGGACAGGGAGAGAGCGAGGGGGACGGGGACAGGAAGCCGGAGGAGCGCAGGGGAAGGCTGGGACAGTACAGTCTTTGATCTCTTAAGGATGCGTAAGAGGAACGTGTAAGAATGCGACGCGAGACCGGGGGGGGGAGGGGGGTCACGCCTGAGCGGCCGCCCATGTGCCGACGTGCGACCCCAGGGCCATAAACCGGGCGCCGCGCTCAGAGGAAGCGTCTGCCGACGTTTCCCGGCACACGTCCTGCCCAGCCGACCTGGGGGTGGCGAAGAGACCCAGTATAGAATAAAGGTGGAACGTGACCAGGGTGTACTGCTGAACTCCTGGGGCTCGCAGAGTCGAAATACGGGCTCTCGTTTTTCATCTGTCACGCTTATCGGCCTCTGGGGGACAACTGAGGGACGAATGGAGCGGGGTCTGGCGGGGGGGAGGCCTTCCACAGACACGCTAGAGCATTCCAGAGCATTCCAGGGGAAGCAATCCCAAACATGGGAGAGGCCCCCGACAGGAGAGACGAAAGAGTCACACGTGATTCACTGAGGGCATTTTAACCCATTCCCGAAATCTGATACGTTTCTTTTTTTTTTCCCCCGAAAACTTTGTCCAGGTGTTATTTCTGCTTAGAACATAGAGGGATGACCTGCAGATGTAGGTCTTTCCCACAATGCACCATAATTTGTGTTTTTTGTGTATGAGTCAAGCAGAAGAGATATGAATCTCCTGTAGGGAAAAAAGAAAAATCCCAGGAAAATTCTTCCACTGGAAATGTGGAAGTTGGTTATTAGTTGGATATGATGATAATATATTTGGAAGTATTTAGCAAGGCTAATGTGTCTGACTTCCACGTCTGAGTCCAAGTTTGAGCACAGAAGTTATCGGAAGGGCACCTTATCTTATTGGGAATGGTGTTTGGTGCTGTGCTTAAGCAGCCAGACCAGGAGGCTGCAGGGTTAAGTTTCCCCAGAGGGAAGTTGCTTCTATGCCTTTCAAGTAAATATGTAGCTGTGTAACGGAAATGTTTCATCCTTGTGATAAACATTGTTGCTAAGCAGTTACACAATATTATTAATTCCTCAGTAGTTATTAATCCATTGCTGTCTCTCCAGCCGTTTCTATTCTTTGTCAATAAGTTTTTCAGTGCGCACTTTCTAAGACCTCGATGACTTGGTGGATGGACTGAGTTGTGTGTATAATGGCGTGTCATTCAAGACCGGGTTCTTTTCAGGAGGCTAATGATGCGGCTTGCTTTCCTGTGGTCCTGCTCACCCATATCCCACCTCCCTGAGTGCTCCCCTCTCTCCATCTCTGAGATCCCGATTAGTCGGGCTCAGGATTCCAGCTCGCCCGGCAGCAGGAATGTCCTGTTTGTCTTGCGCTGTTGTTTATGCACTCTGAGCCGTGTTTTGATTGGCCGGCTGGCATTTGTGTGTTAGAGCCGGTGAGACTGTGAGGGCTTGGAGGGGTGGGGGGGTGGTGTTTGATGTGTCCCATTGTCTGGGAGCCAATCTGCTTCCTGCCCCTGCTGTAGTCACTGGGCTGGATGGCTAGAGAAAGCAAGTGCACGAGTGAGAGAGAGAGGGGGAGAAAGAGAGGGAGGGAACAAAACAGAGACCCTGTACAAGGCTTTTCCTCCAAACATTAATACAGTGAATTTAAGTGTAATCCCCCCACCCCCCTGCTATTCCCCATGCGTGAACCTCCACCCCCCTGCTATTCCCCCTGCGTGATCCCCCTACTCCCCACTATTCCCCCTGCGTGATCCACCTACTCCCCACTATTCCCCCTGCGTGATCCACCCACTCCCCTGCTATTCCCCCTGCGTGATCCACCTACTCCCCTGCTATTCCCCCTGCGTGATCCACCTACTCCCCTGCTATTCCCCCTGCGTGATCCAC